AATTTTAGAGCTGGGTTAGGTTGTTTTAATTGAAATTCTATAATGCTAATAGGGACCAGAGTTTAGGATTTTATTTATAAAAATAAAATATTTTTCAAGAAGCCAATTTTTTCAAGGACCATTAACATTTTATAAACAAGGGACATAGAAAAAGCATGGATTTAACACCTACCATAAAAGAGAAATTTTTAAAATATCAAATATTTGTTTAAAACAATATGTTACGCCAAAACCCCATAACTGGTTTCAAAACTTCAATTTTTAACCTTCCTATTTATAATTAAAACCACTTTCTTTTTCCGCAACTCCTTTTTTCTCTACCCCCTTCCTTTTCCCATTTAGATGGAGCAACGATAAAGTAAATTTGGGTGAAATTCTCAAGACTACCTCACAAACATTATCCACTCAGGTTAGCGCTTCCGAAGAGCGTGCAACACGTGCCGAAAATGAACTAAAAAAAGAACACGAATTGCGGATAGCATTGCAGGAATCTGAATTACAGCTGAAGGAGAAAATAATTACGCTAGAAAATCAAATAAAAGAACTTAGTGCCGAAGTACAATCAACGAGACAACTGAAACCTGAACTGGAAAAATTACGACATCAATGGTCAGAGGCTCAAATTACCCTCGAAGAATTGGGTATACAATTAAGTGAAAGTAAACTGAAAGTTTCCGAACTGAAAGAGAAGGAAAAATTGCAACAGGATATGTTAAATAATTCAATGTCTTCATTAGTGAGTGCTGGTAGTGGAGGTGCTGGAGATGTACAACAACAGACAGCAACAACACCTGGGGCCAGTACTGGACTCTGGGCACCCGATTCAATAACCACACATTGTACCAGCTGTCGAAAAGAATTCAATTTAACACGACGCAAACATCATTGTCGCAGTTGTGGTGAGATTTTCTGTAAAGCCTGTTCCGATCACACACTGCCGCTGCTCAATGAAAATGGTCAAGTGGGGAAACCGGTCCGGGTTTGTCTATCCTGTTTTGCTTCACATAAATGAACAACAACAATTCTACAAAGAATTGCAACAACAACTAATGCCGTGTAGTGCTATAGTATAATAATACATTTTTATGTTTATCTAGTTTTATATATTATACATACAATATATATGTATATGGTAACATAAAACAAAACAAATTGTGGTTGTTCTCTCCTCTATAGAAAATTATATTGTTTGTACAGTTTTTTTTTAACAGTAAAATAATAAAATACAAATGCAAATTTTCGTAATTTTTTAAAACGAAAATTTTATACCATGCTTTGTAATTGTTGTATCGTATATGTAAATTTTAGAAATTTATTGTATTTATACGTGTTTATTTATTATTAAAAAAAGCAAAATTTCATAAATAAAAAAACGAAATATATTTTTGTGTCGATATTTGTAATTTTATGAATTTGTTTACTACTAATGATGTATTAAAGTAAGTTGGCCAGTTAAAATAGAAAAGTGTCTTCTTGGAGGACACTTATCTATTTTAACTGGCTGTCATCTATAAAATGTATGTCCTCTATCTTTCATCTATTTCAGTAATCCATCATTATTGTCATCTATATTTTTAAAAACTTGATCAAAATTTCATTTTTTAATTAAAACAAATTAATAAATATATTTTATGAAATTTCAGTGAAATATTTAGAAAAGGGGTCCGAATCTTAGCAGGAAACCCCATTTAACTCCCCATATTTTCAGAATTTTTATACACATTTTCCAACCGAATTATAATTTTAAATTAAGAATTCGAATTGGGTAATAAATGTCCATAAAAATAATTATTATTAAATGCTTGTATTTCAGCGTTTCTGGACACGTTTTGCCCGAATTTGCTGTTATTTGATATTTTGGATTCAAGGTGTCCCCAAGAAAGAAACTCAACTTTTCATTTATTTTAAATTTTACGAAAATCTGCCTTTAAAAGAGGCTGTAATTTCATATTCATTTTGGCCTATGGGTTGCAAAATATCCTTGGAAAACATAGCCAACATAGGTCAACTTCTTTGCGAATAATCTTGGGATCTTTATCCGAACCTTTCTTTTTGTCATCTATTTTCATTTTTAAAGTATAGTCGCCTTAATTAAAGGGACCCCCCTGTTCTCGGTTTCAAAAAATAAATTTTTATACCCTCAGCCTTATGGCTAATGAGAGTATATACACTTTAATACGGCCAAAATGAGCATCATCGAAATATTGATTTTACAACCCATGTTTCTTTGGACCAAATCCGTTTCAGATAATTTGAAGTCGATTTACAAATGCCCGTCCGTCTGTCTAGCCACCTAGAGAGCAAGATAACTCTCGAAGGGAGTAACAGATTTCATCCATATTTTATACATCTTAATATTTCCTCTATAATTAGTTCATGTTCGAAGATGAGACCCATTGGTCCACTCCTTCTAGTACCTCCGCCACAAAGGGTCAACATTTCCATTATTTATATATCCAATATCAAGCGAATGGAATGTCAGATTTGAACCAGAATTTGCACAACCTATCTTTACCAAGCCTAGATCAAGTTTGAAGATGGAATTCATTCTTCCACTCATTTTGGTGCCTCCCTCACACATGGTCAATATTAACTCCGAACATAAAATCCGAAAACTCTTTGATAAAAACATATACCTTATATAAAGCGAATAATAAAAAATGTATATAATTCCGAAGATCTCCGTAAACCATTTGACATTTTTTGAATCAACAGTTCAACCGCTTCAAATTGATACACATTTGGAGGCTAATAATTCATGAAATATGGATTTCTGTAATCGTAATCAGTACCCCTAGAACTACTTATGGTAAACATTTTAAAACGATCCCCGACCTGGCCTTAAACTAGATATAAGTCTTCTTTAGTTTGAGGTATTCGGCCTGACTATTTTTATATGGCCCATTGAGTCCAGTATGAAATTCCGGGGTCTTTCTCACAGAATATTTAATACGTTCTTATTTTCACTTAATCACCAAACAAATGTCAAGTTCCTAGACCAATTTTCCAACCTAAGTGTCTGTATTTTGGTATTTCATTTTCTCCTTTTAGCAATTTTCTGCGGCTTTGACCTGATCGACATTTTACTTGTTATAATATAAGAGAAGCTTTTCTTATAGAATAGAAAATGAATATTTTTCGATAAGGAAGAGGAAGGTCAATAGGCCTAGTTCTTCTCATATAAGATCAAAAGCTCATCTTTTCGAACTAAGGTTTTTTTATCATCCCCATATTTTTTATTTATCCAAAGGTATTTCCATAGAATATCAAATGTATTGTTTAGAACGAAGAAGGTTTTCCCTCCAGAAGCTTATTTCCGAATGTATTGCACCAAATAAACTATTTACGGGTCATTTATAAATGTAAATAAAATATAAATTAAAAAAATGTTAGGATATATATAATCAATAGTAAGATTTGTTCCAGAACCAGCAAAAATTTCCTTTTACAACGCTAAAATTTTTTAATATCAGAAAAAATAATAAAAATTAGTAGATTCTTGCAGTAAGGGAAATACCGTATGGCTCCGTTCTAGAACCTACAAGAGTCTTATACCATAGACAGACGACAGCCTTAATTTGCGTTAAAAAGTTCTTAATTTGAATTCATATTTACCCCTGACAGACGAGAGTTTCTGCATTTACGAAACAGTTTTTTGTTTCAAAACAATTGTTTGTCTGTGTGTAGAACTCCTTGTACATTAGAACTTTTTACCGGGTTAACCTACTTTATGAGGATTTATTTGACATATATGCAAAGGAAATGACAATTTAAACCCACTGGGTTAACGAAATCCGGTTAAATGTAAACGTACTGTAGGATGAATATTTTTTACATTTGCTCCGATATTTTTCGGGATTACATCTTTAGGAAATAGATACATGGCATAAAGGAGGAATATCTACTATGATCTTAGCAAAACAGCTCTCAATTTAAAAAATAGTTGAAATTTGCCTTCATTTCTTATTTTTATTTTCATAAATATAAATAAATTTGACAAGAAACAATTAATTTTCGACAGCATTGCCATATTAAAATTGCCTTATTCAGTATAAATTCAGTTTGATTTTGTGCATTAAAAACACATAAAAATGAGGATAATGTACAAGTTAATTTGAATTAAGACTGTTAATGCAAATTAAGGCTGTCGTCTGTCTAGGCTATTATTTTAATTGATGCAGTGTCCGATTTTCCCTTTATAAATTTGATTTGAAATTTTACTTTTTTAATACGAAATACGTTCCAGAACATACAAGAATGTCCTATAAATCGGAATTGTTTTAAATTTTCCTTTATAATTAATTGATCTGTTCCCGAAACTGTAAGAATGTATCAAATTTGTTTTCGATTTTTTCTCTCTAAATTTGAAGTTTTACCACTTGTTGGATACTGCAGCAGAACCCCATTTTTTAATTTAAAACATTCTAATATTAGAATAGCCAGATTTCTACTTATAATCAGTTTGGCAAAAAACTGATGATTAAAAACGTTCCATTTCAAAATTGGGCAATTCCGGAATTTTGACTGTGACAAAAAATTATTTAATAAAAAACAGAACACAAATTGCACAGTGAAATTCGCATATTGTAGAATTCAGATATAGTCAATTTTTTAATTATGTAATTAGCAAGTAGCTCTGGCCTGCCTTTTATCATTTTTATAGGTATTCCAAATTCCAATTTAACAAAAATCATCCCATTGTACAAAAGTCGACATCAAAAAATTCATTATCGACTAATCGATTATCTTGCAACACAAAAGTCAAGCAATCGATTAAACACAAAATCGAACTACATCTCCCTAGTGTTAACTACAACAAGGTCATACTAAGGTCGTACTTATTCGCCGAATAGCAATCGTCGAGAAAGGTACTAAAAGAAAGTGAAAGGAGTGAAAAGTTCGTTATTTAAAAAAAACTAAAATTACAAAATATTCAATATTTGCTTTATCAAACTATTTTAACCGAAATCTTGTTATTTTCATAATAGCCCGCTCCCTGTAAAGAACAACTAAATAACAACAACCTTAAACATGGCTCGCAAATTCTGTGTTGGTGGTAACTGGAAGATGAACGGTGATAAGGCATCTATCACTGAATTGTGCAAAACCTTGTCCGGTGCCACTTTGGATGAAAATGTTGAAATTGTTTTGGGTTGTCCCTTCGTCTATATTAACTTTGCTCGCGATCTCTTGCCCGCCAAATTCAATGTTGCCGGTCAAAATTGCTACAAAGTTCCCAAGGGTGCCTTTACCGGCGAAGTCTCACCAGCTATGTTGAAGGATGTCGGTGCTGGTTGGGTTATCTTGGGCCATTCGGAACGTCGTCATGTTTTCGGTGAACCCGATGAATTGATTGCTGAAAAGGCTGCCCATGCTTTGGCCGAAGGTTTGAAGGTCATCGCCTGTATCGGTGAAAAATTGGAAGAACGTGAAGCTGGCAAAACTGAAGCTGTTGTTGCTAGCCAAATGGCTGCCTATGCTAAGACCATTAAGGATTGGACCAATGTTGTTGTTGCCTATGAACCCGTATGGGCTATTGGTACTGGTAAAACTGCCACTCCCCAACAAGTAAGTTTGTAATCGCAAAAAAAATGTATTGGATTAAGTAACTAAGTGCAAGGGTAGATAAGGGGAGGTTGTTATAAAAAGAAGAGGATAGGGGTGTTTTATGTGAAATTATTATTGTTAAAATTTATATTACATGTTTAGTATATGAAAAGTCAAATGTCGAAATGATATTTAGAAAATTTTAAAGGTCAACCAAAATGACCTTGAAAAGGAGATATTGTTGTAGACTTTGCTTTCATATTGAATCGTGTATATTTTTCTATTGTAGATCCATGAAAACAATTATTACCTTTAAAGGTAGTGAGTGATGATGGCATATAGTAATAAGAAGACTGCTAAAGCCGAACTGTTAATTGAAGTGGAGTATTAGGTTCCATAAATTTAAATGTAGGAAAGATCATTAATAATATGATTTTGTAGTTTTGAATTTCGGAGAAACAAGCATATTTACATGGTTTCTGTCCAAGGGGAACACTGTGGGAGACCAATAAGAGAATAAATCACTTTTGCTTGCAGGAGACCTATTCTATATCTTGTGTCTATATTAGGAATAATATTGAATTTATTCTGTATAATGGTTTCCTGTGTAACGAATATAGGACTAGTGTTCATTATGGGACTAGTCATTCATTATGTTTGAATCGTTCGGAAACCTACAGATATTAATCTAGAGCCTAAAATCCAATTTCATTAGTACAAGGAAAAATTACAGTAGTTGATTATAAAAAAAACAGTAGGTAGGTAGAGAATATGTCCCTAATGTAGCAGCATATTACACCAAAACTCTGTACTAGAAGTGTAAAATTTTGGTTTGTCAAAAAAATTTTGCCGTTATTAGTGTCCATCGCAATCACCATGGGGAATCTTAAAGAAATAAACGCAAATTGTAGGATTTAAAAGTAAGCAGCAAGGAAAGTAATAAAGTGGGACATGAACGACAATATCATACCCTGAGCCTAAAGACGATATTCGTGGGTTAATGGTTAACATCCAAACATATATACGCCAGAGTTGAAGTATGGTGTATTGAAAACTCGAGTAAACCGATGATATTCAATGCATCGTCTTCTGAAATACCCGCCATCCATGTAGGGGGTATTGAAATCGAGAAAGTCGACCACATGAAAACATTAGGTATTTATATTTTGACAATGTTTAGTTTGGGTTTGTTCTCGCGATTGAATACATTGATATGTCCGAAGTTTAATTCTCTTATAATGCTGCACTCTTTTGAGGTTCGAATTTGTAGAATTTTGAATATATTTATACCATATGCAGAAAGAAAATTTTCTCATGCTAGAAAAATATAGGTATTTTATGGACGTGCATATTATGATATTCCATGACTATCAAAAGCTTATCTTTTGATGTACAGAAAAAGTTCTTCTGTCTAAGGATTACATTCATAGTCATATGAAAAGTCTTCTTTTACAAAAATTATCTACCTGGAGATCTTTAGTAGATCTACAATCTATAAATGGATACTATTTAAATAAATATACATCGAAAACTTCAATATGTGGATGATTTTATTATTGAAAGAGCTTAGTTTTATCTAAGGAATGTCTAAAAAGTTTGTATTTTTATAAGGGGTTAGCCTAAAATGTGGACTAATATTGGTAGGTTTTGCTAGAAAGATACCATTTTAGTTTCCAATATTGGGGAGTTGCGTTTTATGGGAACTATACCACACATCCTATCCTAAAAAATACTTAATGACTATAAAATTTATTTTAGGGATATTGAATATATATACACAAGTCTCTTAAAATATCTGTAAATGATCTGATGTAATATTATATCCTTATTGTATTTTCTTTTGTTGTCCTGACCCCCCTTAATTTTTCTATTGTTAAACGAAGTATTTAAGAATGTTGTTTTGTTTTTTAGTAAACAATTAAACAATAGTTCGATTACAGCATAGGGTACATAATATATTTAGGCACATACAAACAAACAAAAGAAAAACAAAGGGAAATAAAAGATCAACAGTTTTCCGAAAAGAAATTTAAAAACATTTTGGCTATGTGCCAAAAACTAGACACCCGTTTTTGTACACATGTAAAAACATTTTTTAATTAATTTTATTTGCCGTATACAAAGGCCAATATTATACCCTATACGACATTATAATAATTTATTTCTATGTAATTTATTCTTTTTTAGGCCCAAGAAGTCCATGCCTATCTCCGCAAATGGTTGGCTGAAAACATCTCCAAGGAAGTTTCCGATTCTCTACGCATTCAATATGGTGGCTCTGTTACCGCTGCCAACTGCAAAGAATTGGCTGCTCAACCTGATATTGATGGCTTCTTGGTTGGTGGTGCCTCGTTGAAACCTGAATTCATTGATATCATCAACGCCAAGAAGTAAATCTTCCCCCACCAAACAACCAATAACACCAAATAATATCAATTCTCATAAGGAATTATTGTTGAAAAAAAAAAAACAAAGTGTTCATACAGAAGAAGAAGAAGAAATATTGCATTATATCACTTGTTAAATAAAAAAATGTTTTTTGAATACAAACAATGTTAATGTTAAGCAGCGCAAAACAAAATTAATCAAACATAGCAACAATAACAACAACAATACATCGTGTGTAGTGCAATTTTTTTAGAATTCAGTTTTATTTCTTTTGAAATTGATTTCATTTAACTTATTATTTTTTTTTTCTAAAACATTTATCATTATAAGCAAAAACAAGTAAAGTGAAAAAAGCAACTGTGTTGTTTTTTATTATGTTTATAAATTCTATCTATAATTTATGACAAAAAATAAACTCATTCTTTAGTTATAAAAAAACTGTTGTCCATTGGTCACCGGGTGGGTGTGTTAATATTGTTAATTATCTACAATATGTTTTTTGTCAGTTCAGAAGGGGCAAAGGTGAAATGCATAATCGGTTGTTATCTTACTGAAACTAATTAGGTTGTGTGGACACATAATACTATTGCTAATATTAGACTTGAGTAATAATAAAATTTATGATATGTTTACTGATTATGAGTCTGTTTGCAAAATTTTGTTTTTCAAATGAAAAGAAAACAAACGAATTTTATAGAAAAAAAAAACACAATTGCGGTACAATATCTAAATGGTTATTTTCTCTGCAACAAATTGTATTAATATACGTATATACTATGTTATATGGAAAGCTTGTACTCTTTAGAAGAGGCATTCTATTTTTTAGAAGTGTTTAAAAAGGACTTCTGTATGTAGAATATATATGAAAAGTTTTATCTGTTGATGACTTATAATTATTATTTATATTTGCACCATACACCATTAGGTGGAAATTCGAAATACCTAAAATCAATCGATATATTTATGTTGGATATAAAAGGGAACTAGATAGCCGACAAGCTTGCTCGAAGGGGTTCACAATCGTCCAATCTTCCGATGGAGATATTTGTGCAACCACCCATTGGCTATTTCATTGGCAAAATCCGCTTGTTCTACGTAAAAGATGATCGAGAGAACCTGGTTGCAGAATCTCAAAAGCTATCTGGCCTGAATTCTGTCGCCGAAGAACTTCTTTGCTATTGTCACACAATAATAGAGAGGGATCAAAATCATTGTGGGGATTATAATAGGTCACTGCAGCATTAGATCTCTCTCTTCGAAATGGGACTTCAGCGGAGAGGATTACTGTCGTTTATGTGAGTTCGAAGAAGACCTAGAAACAATTGAACATATCCTCTGTAGATTTCCATCATTGAGTGGCAGAAGACATAAACAGTTTGAAAGGTACAAAATTGATAATCTAGCTTTCTTCTCTAAAATAGACCCCAATCGAATCCTAGGCTTTATCAAAAATCTGACATGGCTAAAATAACCATCTCTAGGCTCTCTTTCTCCTAATATTTTCTCATATCTTCCACTCTCTCTCCTTTTCCCGTTTTCTTTTCAGGTATCAAGGATGATCACAATGGACAATAGTCTCCGAGTGAACGGTTGTTACTAACATCCGTACATCCCTAACCTAATCGATATGTTCATATTGTTGAAAATTTTCAGATAGAGCTTTGATCATTTTTGTACATACATTGTTACTACTCCCAGGATGTTTAATATTGAAAATGGGATATATCGGTCCTTGTTTAGATATATCCCCCATATAATGGTACCCCCAAATATTCTGTATTTTGGGGTTTTTTAGCTTGTTTCAACCGAATTGGCTATAATTAAGTACTTTGTGTATTTTAAGTTTAATTGTATAGCAAATTTCCTTTCCAAAAATTACCGTTTCCACGACAGAGGGGTCTACGATCCGAAACGACCCAAGTCTTCCTCGGTCAACGTCTGTCACTTCTGCGTATTGTGTAAAAACAATAGGGCTGCTACAACAACCAAAACTGATAGATATTAGTCCAGTTTTGAGGAACTATCAATTTTGCCTTCTAAAAATTGTCGATTTCGATCGACTTTTGAGAATACCTCCTATATTACGGGTGTCAAATATTCCTACCTACAATTTATGAATTTCCCGAACGATTACTGGTATATTAAATGTCCACCCCACGGTTGAGGGTAAAAAAAGATCGACCCAGTTGAGGTTGACGCTTATACTTGACGATAAGTTTATTGGTTTGCTGTTTGTATTTGTGTGGTTGTATATAAGACATTGATATTTTCTGCAGATGCAAGGTGTTCGCTCTGTCCACTTATATTAGCCTCTTAAATGCAGGAGAGATATACAAATTCTTTTAAGGCCCGCCACTCACTATACACCATGGCCTTTCGTCCTTGCATTGAAATTCTAATCAACTTAAAATAATATTTCATTCTAAAATTTATTTATAAAGAAATTTCAATATAAAATTTGAGTTCGATATTTTTGCAATTAATTTAATTTTTTATCCGGAAATAATTAAAGATACTTAAGCATAATTAAATTTTCGCAATGAATACCAATGGAAATCCTTTAAATGTATCTATGGCTGGAGTTACTCCTGTAGGAAATGTAACCGGTGGCGTGGGTTATATTGTTGACATTATTGTTATTCGTTTGGAAATTAGTGATACGGATACCCAACAATCGATTGACAAAGATCCCGCTACCCTTGTCGTGGAAGCCACATTCAATAAAGATGAATTGAAAATTACATCAAGTCGTATAAATGTTATTGAATTTAAATCGGGAAAAAGTTTTGAATTTATGGAAAATCCCAGTGTACTTCGAGATGATTTGATGAAAAATAAATTGAAATTAAAAATAAAACATTCGGGAAAGGAATTGGGTTGTGCAGCTGTGGACTGGCCAGAGAGTTTTCTAAATTTTCTCATAGATCCGGCATGCAGTGGCGAATTGACACATGTCTTTGAATCGGAATTTCGTAATTGTGATACGGATAATAAATGTGGCACCATTGAGGTGATAGTACGTCTACAAACAAAGTGTGCGGAATGGAAGTGAGTATACAGGTTTTGGAATGTAATTATTTATATGTACTAATGGGTGATTTTTATTTTATATTTCAGTGACGATGCCATGTGTGGACCAAGGGAAGATATGGCCAAGGCTGCTAATAAAGTAATTGATCCAAATGATATTTTGTTTGTGGTGGGTGAAGATAAAAATCCTTGTTGTTGTTCTCAAGTTGGCCTCATACCTGCCACAGATTCGGATAAATCGTTGCATCCTACGTGTTTGGATCTTTCGAATTTTCGTTCTGTCAATGGAAAAACTGTACCAAATGCCGATATTTTGAATACACTGGATCCAGCATGTGGCGAACTGAAGGTAAGGAGGCATTTGAATTTGAAAATACTAGTTGTTCCACTTAGAAACCTAAAGTAGTTGGGAAAGTGTAACCTTGACACATAATATATCTTCTTTCCTATCACTATTGCCATCGATATTATTTCAAACTTACCTTCTCACAATGGTCCTGACGGTCTCAGAGTGCTGCAGCCACATAAGTGACTGCACATCCCCAAACCTAACCTACCTTTAGTGTTAGCCAGACTTGCCATTGCTGACCTTCATTATCCATCCTGTGGAAGACTTACCAATTCTTAACCAGCAGTGTTTTCTTCTCCATACCAAAAACTTCAATCGTGCGTTCTGTGGTGAACTCGCTGTCCCAATTTCTGAAGAAACTGTTTATAGCTGAGTAGCTGTTTCTTTTCCTCCTCATCAGCTTGAGTTTGATTGTCTCGCCACTAGCATCGCATAAGATGGCGTCTTCTACCAATTGTACTGCCCCTTCCTCGTGCCGGTATTAACGGAAGATAGCGATGGAATTTGTATCTTCTGAGCTTCTATAGTCCTTTCCTTTTCAAACTCTAGCATTAGACAATGTCCCTTGAACTCGTAGATTTCCCGATCGATGGAATTCCCTCTTTGCAGCAGGTGCTCCATGCCTCGGCTCCAATATCTCGCCTTCTGGGTATTAGAGCCAATTACCATCGTTAGTTCTCGTGGCATTCTGACACTCTTTTTATTTCTTCTTCGTTTGACATTCGTCTACTTTTCCGGAGACCTAAACCTCTTCGCCACATACGAGAAAGAGGAGAAAAGGTTAGGCTTAGTATACTGCGCCATCAGTCTGCTGTTCGCTCTTGTTTCTCCAGTTCATCCTGGTCAGTTTCCGCCTTTGCGTCCTAGATAGCTTCTACTTTCTTTGTCATGAGCTTACTAATGTCTATGCTCACTTCGACTGTTTAGACTCCGACTTGGAGTCCCCGCCTATATCCAACGGTTGGGTCGATATTGCTTTTCCACGGTGGTTTTTAAACTAAGATCCATTTTTGCCTGTTGACAGCATGCTTGTAGCGATACCCTCGACTACAGATGCCAAGATACCCATATATGTAGGAGATTTTTACTCATGATCGCAGGATGACGATGGATCGTGACTCGTGCACGGTATTTGGTATTTCGTTGTCTTCAACA